TTTCATGCTGTATAGTGGAATTTGAATTCAATAAATATCTGGATGACCACAAAACCATTGAATGATTGTTTGGGGGAAAATCCACCCATTTCACTAATGTCATTCAGGTAAGGATATCTGCTATCATCATCTGGTCTGGCCCATACGTGACTCCAGACGCACAGCAATTGACCTCTGAAATGTGCTAGCAAGCCACTCAGTTTTATGGGTTACCTACAGCAAATGGACTGCAGCAGTTTGAGAAAGTAGCTCACTACCACCTTCTCAAGGGCAACAAGGGACAGACAATAAATACTGGCCCAGCCAGCAACATCCAAGTTGCACAAGTGAATATTGGGTCCAGATGTCCCAGGCTCTGGTTGCATGCCTCACAGCCACAACTCATGATTTGCGCACACTGCTAGCTATTCAACTATGTCAGCCACTTGGGTAGTTTGTAACGCAATACCCTGTGAACAAGAACTGCTGGTACAGACTTGGCTCTGAACAAGCATCTCATTCAAAGGGTTTGTGAAACTTGGCAAGTTAAATAGAAACTTTCACAAAGATGAATAGAGGTTTCTTTTGGGGGTCTGTACTTTGATCTGATCTGTATAATCATTGATGTAGAATTGCACTAGATGCCCAGTGCTGGATTCCTGACGAACCCAAATAAATTACATTAGAAAAAATGAAATTAAAATTAAAAATGGTGTTAAATGCTCTCTTAATAAAGGCACACACTTCTCATAAAAATGTGAATGGGCTCAGAGCAGAGCTTTATAAATGATTTTGACGTGAATATACGAGGTAGGCTTGTAGATGACACCAAAATTGGTGGTGCAGTGGACAGTGAAGAAGTCTATCTCAGAGTGCAACGGGACCTTAATCAGAAGGGCCAATGGACTGTGGAGTGGCAGATGGAGTTTAATTTAGGTAAATGTGAGATGTTGCATTTTGGTAAGGCAAACCAGCGTAGACTAACACAGTTAATGGGAAGGCCCTAGAGAGTGTTATTGAACAAAGAGACCCAGGGGTGCAGGTCCATAGTTCTTTGGAAGTGGAGACACTGGTAGACAGGGTGGTGAAAATGGCATTTGACACACTTGCTTTCATTGGTCATAACATTGAGTATAGGAGTTGGGATGTCATGTTGCAGGATATTGGTGAGGCCACTTTTGGAAAATTGCATTCAATTCTAGTTGCCCTTCTATAGTAAGGACGTTATTAAACTTGAGAGGGTGCAGAAAAGATTTACAAGGATGTTGTGAGGACTGGAGGGTTTGAATTACAGGGAGAGGCTGAATAGGCTGGGGCTTTTTTTCCTGGAGCGTCGGAGGCTGAGCTTATAGAGGTTTATAAAATCATGAGGTGCATGGATAGGGTGAATAACCAAGGTCTTTTTCCTAGGGTGGCAAAGTCCAAAACTAGAGAGTTTAAGGTGAGAAACGGAAGATTTAAAAAGTACCTCAGGGGTAACTTTTTCACGCAGAGGGTGATGCATGTGTAGAACAAACTGTCAGAGGAAGTGGTGGAGGCTGGTACAATTACAACGTCTGAAAGGTATCTGAATGGGCATCTGAATAGGAAAGGTTTAGAGTGATATGGGCCAAATGCTGACAAATGGGACTAGATCAGAATGGGATGTCTGGTCATCATGGATGAGTTGGACCGAACGGTCTGTTTCCATGCTGTATGACTCTACAACTGTCATCAAGGAGTGTGACATGAATTATAGCAACACTCTCAAACTGTTTTTACTTTAATATTTGAATAATTATCAGTGCAGGTAATTTAACTTTGACCCCTTCTCAACTGGCAAAAAGGCCATTTTTTTTAGAAAGCATCTAATATTCCAACAAAACTCATTTCGAATAGATACAGTACTGTTGTCACACTCCCATACATAAGGATGCATCAAGCAGTCAGGCCCTGCATTTCTCTCGTTTCAACTACTGCCTTGCACGTCTTCACCCCAGATCTTGTGGGCAATCTATTTTAAAAAGCTGTACTTTATAAGGAAATTAAATTATTTGGCCACAAATTTAGGCCAAGAATTCAACAATAGGCTTTATTGACATCAGAAATCACTAAAACATTACTATCATGATTTATAATGTCTGAAAAACGTAACAAATCACCTCCACATAATTTGCTGCCAGCTATCTATTGTTCCCTGTTAGAATCGAAGGTTTACAATGAAAGAGTCCTTTGTGATTCAACTTCGCTGTGATGAATAGAGTTAACGTGGGAGAGATATAAACGTAATTTCTTGAATCTTTATAATGCCCTATATTTAATAGAGAATTGTTTTCCATAAAGGTTAATCAGTTGTTGCTAAAAAAAGGTTCTTACACTTGGATTAATGAAGAAACATTATGGATTGTTTGATGTTAGGTTGTTGCTAAGCACACCTTTGATGCAAGTGTTCCCGCAACATATGTTTTATCCTGATTCAATGATTCAGATAATAAATGTCTGCAAAGATAGATATTTTTAGGTCCGTCCGTCATCATATTGAATCATAAAATCCCTACATTGTGGAAGCAGTCCTATCAAGTCCACATTGACCCTCCGAAGAACGTCCCACCCTCCCTATCCCTGTAACGCTGCATTCCCCATGGCTAATCCACTTAGCCTGTACATCCCTGCACACTATAAGCAATTTAGTACGGCCAATCCAGTTAATCTATACATCTTTGGACTGTGGGAGGAAACAAGAGCATCGGGAGGGAACCCATACAGACATCGGGAGAATGTAGAAACTCCACAAGACAGTTGTCCAAGGCTTGAATCGAACCCAGGTCCCTGGCGCTGTGAGGCAGCAGTGCTAACCACTGAGCCACTGTCCCACCTTTTGCTTTTGATTTTCTTAAAAAAGATTTCTATGCCAGTCAAAATTAATCTGAAACCATTTGAGCTGAACGCTAAAGGAAAAGCAAAATTGGTATTTCTTAAATAATGGGGTTGCATATAAAGTGTCTATTCATCTGCATGCAAGGAAAAGCAGATAAAAACACAAAATCACTTCAAAACAAACAAGGTTCATGCATCACTCTATATTAACAGCACATGAACAAGTATTGTTCCAGACTGTGGAGTTGTGTCCTTATTACAGCTTCTTTTCTGGGCCTTCAGTGTCCAGTGGAGCCCTCCCCATCTCTCCCACATGCCCACCCAACACGCCTCTGCCTTTTAAACCTGACCCTCACCTGCCTCATGGGAGCCTGTCAGCCTGGCACCAGCAGGATCTCAGATTTCACTGAATGTCAATGTCTGCCACTGGATATCACCTCCTTACCCGGCCTCCTGCACCAGAATAGCCATGCCGCTCTTGCCTGGTACTGTCAGTGTGCAGAGACGTGGTCCTTTGACTAGCTGACAACCCTACGTGAGGGGAATGCTCCCTGGTTGTGGATGGAAGTCTTGACTTGTGCTAATTAAACAGCTGTCACCCAAAAAGTTAAAGTGGACTGAGTCAGCCAACCATCAGCCACTCACCCCAGAATTTACAGTGAGGTGTGGAGAGGTTGTCCTCAGTGTAAAATCCAGACCAAAGTCTTTGCCAAGTTACATGATTGATGCTACAGAGCAAGACATATTTAGTGCTTCAGTACAAATATCCACAAACAGAAAAGCCAAACAATATTACGTCCAAAGTGGGAACCTTGAACAAGTTGTGCAGACATTAAACGAAGGACATTCTGAAATTAAATGTTCTGTTCTGTTTGGTATGAGTGTGAACATACAGGCAGAAACACATTATAAAGGATACAGGGACGAGAAGCTTATTCTGCACATTTAAAAACTCCAGTCTATGAAGAGTACCTAAATGTGACTGGCATCCTTCCCTGCTGCCTTGCTACAATCTCATTTCACAGAGAATAAACTCTGTTGATAAAAGACACATTTTATCAAAGATTTTCATCTTGCACTCATCAGGAAATACTAATGTAAAGGGGAGAGACATTTTATATGGCACTGGAAGAGAGTACTGATTGGTTGACTAATGGACTTTGTTAGAATTGCCATGGAGAATTCACCTTTTAGATGATGATTGACAGATAACTGCCAGACCTTGTTTAAATTTAAACCAGGCGGGTTGAATCTGATTGGATAAGGCATCACTCTAAGGAGTGAATCTGAATAATAGAATAACTCTACATTTATTTTGTTCTCCCACCATTAGTCAGAAATGTTCCAAATACAGACCGGTTCCTCAGATCTTCTTCTACATCATCTCTCTTGCTCAGTAGCCGATCCCGATGCAAGTCCAACATCAATACAATTTGTTCTGGCCAGTTGAAGACCTGACTGTTCAACCTTATATCATCATCTTTAAGAGAGAGGGAAAATCTGATCATTAGGACAGGATCATCCCAACCATGGAATTTCTTTTTTAAAATATCACATTGAAACACCTTCATTTATATCACATTGTGTGGTTTCTCAAAGTTGCTGCTTGAGTAGGGTAATACCATGCAAAGCACAGCACTCTACCCCAGCATCACCTCATAAATGCAGTACTTGAAGGGAGGGATAATTCCATGTATTATGGAAGAACTAACTGCTCTTCCAAAATTATTGGTGTGGGATCATTAATGCCTACTACACCAGGCAGGTGGAGATTTAGGTTCAACAAGTCGGAGGATTTGGATTGGGGCACCCAAAGGAGGAGAGGCCATAGAATTGGAAGCAATTAGATGAATCGAACAAAACAGGGCAGGTTCTTAGCAGTAGTCATCTGGACAGGCTGACTTTCTTGGATGTAGCCAAAACTGAGAAATGAAGAAGGTTGGGGCACCTACTGGTCAGGGATTTACTCATCGGTCTGTTCCCAGTTCTTGTTTCATTTCAATTCATCATTCGCCATTCAATTCATCAAGAATCTCCTTGAATAGGTCAGTGAGCAGACAATAGGGGAGGAAGTAAATTGCCAAGGGGTGTAATGTACTGCCCAGGACAAGGAAGGATTAGGTGAATAACATCACAAATGATGATTTTCCAGTGCTTACAATGTTAGATGGATGGCTAACAAAGTTACACATATGTTCAAAGAATAATTTAATTTAAAACATACCACACATGGAATTTACTTGGTAATGAGGCATTTACCTGGTAGAGTTGGGTCTATCTTGTACAGTAAGGTTTGCCTAGTAGAATCAGATGTACCTGTTACTATAAGGTTTATTTGGTGATATGGCATTTATCTGGCTGCATAGAATATACTTGGCAATGTGGCATTTACTGGTAATGTGGGGTTTACCTGGCATTGTGGCATTTATCTGACAATGAGGCGTTTACCTGATAATGTTGGGTTTACCTGGCAGTGTTTGGTTTATCTGGTAGTGTTGGGCTTACATGGCAGTGTGAGGTTTGCCTGTCAATGTAGGGTTTACCTGTTAACATAGGGCTTACCTGATAGCGTGGCATAGCCCAGCAAAAAGTCCAGTCTGTCTGCTGCTTCAAAGATTTCTTCTTTCAGTTTAGTAATAGTGACCTCACTGGATTTTTTCACGAAAGTGTCAAGATCCACCAGTTCCTCTGTGGTCTCAGGGATTTCGCTGATCCGATCAGATATCTCTTCATAGCGCTGGCAAATACTAGAGTGAGGCAAACAGCACTCTGTATATATATGGTATTAAGAGCTCATAATGTCAAACACACAAAATTAAGGATATTGTGTTACAAACATCCATTTATATGCTTCATTTAACAATTAAACTTAAATATAGCTGAAAAAGACAGTTTTGTTGAAGCCTTTTGTTTTGCATTCATCAGGACAATTTACAAGGATAGCAATGCAAAAGGAAAACAGCATTTACACTACATGAGAACAGTGTACTGATCAGGTAGTAAATGGGATCTGATTTGTAAAGGAACGCAATGGAGAATGCACCAGTTAATGGTATTAACCCTGATATTAACTGCCAAGTTCTGTTCAAATTTTAAAGCAGCCAAGTTGATCCTGATTATTCAAGGCACTACCATGAGAAATAAACCAGCAAATAGTTTTCACTGATTTTGAGATAGTAAGAACTGCCGATGCTGGAGTCAGAGATAACACAGTGTGGAGCTGGAGGAACACAGCAGGCCAGGCAGCATCAGAGGAGCTGGAAAGTTGATGTTTCGGGTCGGGACTCTTCTTCAGAAATAGGGGAGGGGGAAGAGAGCTTCGAAATAAATAGAGAGAAGAGGAGCGGGACTGGGGAAGGTAGGTGGGATGGTGATAGGTGAGTGCCAGTAGGCCACTGAGGTCTTTCTGGAGGGAGGAGGATAACTCCTTCAAAGTAGGCATCCCTAGAAGAGGCATCGCTCACCTATCACCATCCCACCTATCTTCCCCAGCCCCACCCTTCCTCTCTCTATTTATTTCAACGCTCCCTTTCCCCTCCCCCATTTCTGAGGAAGGGCCCCAACCCGAAGCGTCAGCTTTCCTGCTCCTCTGATGCTGCCTGACCTGCTGTGTTCATCCAGCTCTACACAATTCACTGATTTTGTTGTGTTGAAACAGGTGCAGCGGTGTGCACATTATGCCTGTCTGCAAACAACTATGTTGCTGCCCGTGCATGCAAGTGTGCAATACTATGAATCTGACTGACAGTTCTAAATTGGTTGTCAGCATAATTTTTTGCTCACTTGGGAATTTTTAGCAAACTCTGTTTAACTGTAGAATCACATCTCAACCTATTTTAATCAATTCCTTTTTAAGTGACACATAAATTCACAACACTGCCTCTGAATTTAAAACATGACTTCAGTTAGTGAAAGGTAAATACAGGTATAGTTTTGGGAGCACTGGATTTGCATTTAGGCTCAGGGAATTCCCATTACATCTCATGAAAATGAAGCAAACAGCTTCCAGACCTGTTATTGTTTTTTGGGGGCACAATTTCCTCACTAGGAAGAATAGCAGTGATTCAAGTTGAGGCAGCAACAGTATTAAAGGGGCAGATATTTCTCAAAGCAGTTTTGAACTTTACGGAGCACTGGAGCAGAACGTCAGAGTCATAGACCATATTTTCAAAGAAACCCGACAAATTCTGAGTTCTGAGTCTAGATCTGAACTCATTGTTGCAATGCTGTTTTAAATGCTAATGGGTTTATTGGCCATGAGGCAAACTTGGCTCCCAATTAAAGGCATCAAATGCCTCCAGGAGGTGACAAGTCCCAGCTTAGTGCCAGTGATAGATGCAGACAGTAGCAATATTGTGGCCTGCTGCTAATGTGTAGGTGAGAGCTGGCAACTCATAAAAGGAATTAAAAGGTTAACTTGGCACACTGTGCTCACAGATGCTGAGTCATGGTACAGCATTCTACCTGGTACTATTGACCCATCAAATTTGACAAAAGGCACATAGGGCAATGAACTTCATTTTATCTGGAGCAACTTCACTGGTGTCCACTACGATACATGAGTCTGTCTGGAAAAGAGGTTGAAATTCTGTTCCAATCAGAACTCTTAATGGGCTCTTTAAGGACCTTAAAGGGCCTTTAATTGGCAGAGAGGAGATTTCCCACTTCCTCCTAACTGCAGGTTAATTAAGAATTGCAATCATCCCAGAGGTGGTGGGACCAGTGCTGCTCTCCAGAAAAACAATTGTTGAATCACAGCCTTGCCCAACTCGAAAGCCCAGGCCCACAGGTCTCTGACGTTTACGTGGATACCCCTTCTTCAAATGCAGTCAACTGCGACTTCACGAAAAACCGTCGGAAGTTCAGCGATTACCATACCTCATGTTGAGATTCCGATTTTCCTTCACCACAGACTCAATTAAAGTTTCCTTCAATTTCATACTCCGAGCGCAGAGGTCTGCATTCAGGCTGACAGCATCCAGGCAAAACATAGCAAGAGGCACAGTGACGTGCATTAAAGCTATTTCATCGCAGAGTTTTTGTAAAGCCTCTATTTTCTAGCAACAAGAGACAGTTATTAGCAAAAACGTGCTACATTCCACAAACAATGGATTTTGCAACAAATTGATCTTTAGTGTCTCCTTTGCAGCTTTCCCCAATAAAGCAGCTTTTAGGTACAAACTGTCTTGTAGCAATTGTACCAAGCTTGGGTGAAACCACACGTGGGAGTATTGGGTACAGCTTTGGTCCCCTTATTGAAGGAAGGACACACTTGCCATAGAGGCCGTGCAACTGAGGTTCACAAATTAGTCCCTCAGCTGAAATAATTGTCCTTAAGAGTGACTGAGGAAACAAGCTCTAGATTTTAGAAGAATGAGAGGTAATATCATTGAAACATACAAAACTTCTACAGGCATTGACAGGGTGGATGCAGGAAGGATGTTTCCCAGGTTGAGGTTTTAGAATAATGAGGACAAAGTGCCAGAATGAAGGGCTAGGGGCCCAAACTATTTAGGACTGAGATAAAGAGTAAATCTGCTTCACTCAAAAGGGTATTGAGTCTTTGGAATCTTCTACACAGACAGTGTTGAAGGCTCAATCATTGAATGTGTTCAAAGGACATGGAGATAACATGGGAGAGTGCTGTTGAGGTACATGATCAGCCACAAGGTAAACACAGGAAACTATTTTTGAGCAAGTATTAACAAAGCATTTGGACAATCACATCATGATAAAATTCAACATGATATTACAAATAGATATTGTGTTTGGAATGTTTGTTCAACTATTGCTCAAGATAAGGGCTCATGGAATTCGGGGTTCATATATTAGCATGGATGTAGGATTGGTTAATGGACAGGAAGGGTTGGGATAATGGGACATTTTCCAGTTGTCAGGCTGTGGTTAGTGAAGTGCTGGGGCCCAAGCTTTTTACAATTTGTGTTAATGACTTAGATGAGGAAACCAATACAAAGCTAAGTGGGAATGTACGTGGATGAGAGATAGTAGGAACTGTAGATGCTGGAGAATCCGAGACAACAAGGTGCAGAGCTGGATGAACACAGCAAGCCAAGCAGCATTGATGCTGCTTGGCTTGCTGTGTTCATCCAGCACTGCACCTTGTTGTCATGTATGTGGATGAGTTAGGTGAATGGGCAACAAGCTGGCAGGTGGAGAATAAAGTGGCAAAGTGTGAGGTAATTCACCTTGATTGTAAGAGTAGAAAAGCAGAATTTTTTTTAACAGTTGAGGAACTTGTGACTGTGATGTTCTGACAGACTTGGCTGTACTTCTACAGGGAACACACAACATTAGTGTGAAGGCAGAGGAAGCAATCAGGAAGGGAAATGGAATGGTGTCCTTTATTAGAAAGGGATTGAAGTAGAATAATAAGGAAATCTCACCACAATTGTACAGACCTTTAATGAAAGCACTCCTGTAGCACTGTGCAAAGTGCATACTTATTCTGGAGGCAGCACAGTGAAATTTCACTAGATTGATTCCAAGGATGAGAAGGCTCTATTATGACCAAAGGCTGAGTAAATTGGGCCTATAGTCTCTGCTGTTTAGAAGAATTAGAGGGAATGTGATTGACATTCATGAGAATCTGAAGGGATTTGACAAGGCAAATACTGAGAGAAATTGCTTCCACAGGCTGGGGAATCTAGAGCACAGAGACACATTCTCAGGATAAGGGGCCAATCATCCAGGAATAAATGAGGAGAGCTTTCTTCATCAATTATATTAAGATCCTCCAAAGAGCCTTACTCAAACATTCTGAACTGTGACAGCCACCCACATGAATACGAGAGAGACTGCAGATAGATAACTTTCTGTTTATGCAAAGTTTTCCACACTTTTAAGGTTCTGATGTTGTTTCGAGGGGATGAACAAAAGGAACAAAATTTCATAAATCGAAGCAAAATCCTGTGGATGTTGGAAATGTGAAATAAAAACAGGAAGTGTTAGAGAAACTCTGCATGTTTGGCAGCATCTGTGGAGCCAAATTGGAACTAAATTGCACTCTATTCACTTTCTTCTCAAACAAGTTGAAATACGGTGCACTTACAAATGCACTATTGTTGCATCACACAATTTCCTGTATAATGTTGGGGAAGCCAAAGGAACCGGCTTGTGAAATAGGTAGTTGCATGCATTTGACCCATGCACTGATGTACACCCTCCTGAGGGTTTGATCCATGTTAACTGCTAGTCGGCTACCACCCTAATTGAGTATTTTGGGTTTTGCAGCATTTACCACTGTCTGAGTGAAACTGGGACAGTGCACACTGTTCTTTTCCAACTTATGCCGTGCTCTGTGGAAAATCGCCACTAAGTGTATAGTACAACAAGACCCGCCCCCAGTACCCAACCAAATCCTGCAAAACTTCAAAAGAATTTTCTGAAACAGAGGCCCCCTGAAAGGTTTAGTAATTTTTAATATTTTTGTTGGCTGTGTTTCTGAAATAAATCATGAACTATAACCATTCCATCATACACAAAGCCACCTATTTACAGAGGTTTAGAACAGAAGCAGTGTATTTACTGTTATGAATGCCTCCATTGAATGTTTCTCTGACAGGAAAGTAGTAATTTCTTGCTCTGCTTTAGTGTTCAAAAGATCACTGTATACTTTGTACACATTTAGGTAGCTGAAATAAGAAGAAAAAAAGACATTTAGTGTACATAAGAAATGGTATCCTGTCACGAAGAATCAATAATCGTAAATAAATTCGTATTTTTGCTTGGCATAATGGGACATCAAGCCCACTGTATCACAGAAAGGATGGATGCAGTTTTGAATTTACCTGTGAGGGGATATTGTTTTAAAATTTCAAACTCAGACATAAGGGATGTAGTCCAATAAATAAACAAAAAGAAACCAAAGTTCATAAACAAAAGCAAAATCCTGTAGCGCTGGAAATGAGAAATAAAAGCAGGAGAAAAATTGGAGAAACTCAATGGGCTTGGCAGCATCTACGAAACCAAATCGGAACTAAATTGCTACCCAGTCCACGTGTCTGAAACAAGGAGAGATACAGTGCACTTGCAACATTATTTCATATTATTTATAGATATATTGCACATAGATTGCACCTTCACTGCTTCAGCTGAAGATCTCCTGCAGTCTTCCAGTCAGTAGGTGAGACATTAACTGAGTTGTTAATTGTGGAGGACGACAACCCTGTTCTCAAATGTAAAATGTGTAGTATTTATCTCCTTATTTAAGGAAGGATATAAGATGTTGGAAGCAATTCAGAGAAGGCTGACTAGGCTAGTACAGTAAAGTCCTTGTTACGTGATATCCAAGCATCCAGAATTCTCATGCAACAGGCAAACAGAAATCTTGTTGACAGCATTTATGAGCGGTCTTGGCTGCTTGTTTTAAACACACGCATTCATCTTGTGACATTGACAAGCCGGGTTCTCCCAGCCACCACTAGTATTTCACATGTAACCAGCAGACTCTGATAAATGGCATCTCCCATGCCCTCTGTGTGCTGGATACCAGGGAGATTACTGTACCAGGAAGGACGGGGAGAGGGAGGTCATTTTATGAGGAAAGTTTGGACATACTAGGTCTCTATTGCCAGAATTTAAATGTGTAAAAGGGGAATTTATTGAAAGATGTAAGACCCCTGAGTAGCTTCAAAGAATACATGTGGAGAGGATGTTTCTTCGTATGGAAGGATCCAGAACATTGTTTTAAATAAAAGGGGTTACCCAGAGATGAGGGCAACACTTTCTCACAGAGAGTAGTGAGTCTTTGAAACTGTCTCACTCAAAAAGCAGTGGAAGCAGAGTCTTTGAACATTTTTAAGAGAGGTGGAAATAGATTCTCGATAAGCAAGGGGATAAAAGGTTATCAGAGGGTTGTCAGGAATGTGGAGAATTCAGACCAATCGTGGTCTTGTTAAATGGCGAAGCAGGCTTTAGGGTCTGAATGGCCCACTCCTATTCCTGATTTGTACATTTGTAAGGACAACAACCATGCACAAATGTACCTTTGTGGCCCAATGATATTTGCTCTGAAAATTTCCTGTGCTTTGTTGATAATCTTGCTGACTAAGGATTCCTCTTTTTTTACAGTGTGGATGGTGAGATTTTTTTCTCGAATGTCAGGAAAGAGTTCACATTCCACCTGTTCCAGAAAACAAGAATAGTGCAACAGCATGTTAATAACCCACTGAGGACGTAAGCTTTGTCTTTCAAGCTGAAAATGGTGAATGCTGTCTGATTCCTGACAACAAATCATCTACACAAAGAGGAAAGTGTTCATTTTTTACACAATCAACAATTTTTATTTTATTTGTTCATGGGACAGGGATGTTACTGGCTGGGCCTGCATTTATTGTCCTGCAACTGAGTGAATTGCTGGGCCATATCAGAAGGTCATTGAGAGTCAACCGTATTGTTGTGGGTCTGGAATCACATGTAGGCCTGGCCGAATAAGCACATTGATGAGCAAGATTTTGTTTTACAAAAATTGATATAGTTACTAGCTTTTAACATCAGATTTTTACTGAATTCAAATGTGACCATTTGCTGAGGTGGGATTCAAACCCAATCCTCAGAATATTAGTCTGAACTCTAGATTAGTAGTTGAGTGACAGTCCTGCTATACCAGCGCCTTCTCTTCAGTTCGAGACTGGCCTGGAAATAGATTGCTTGTCTCCTGTCTCCAACAAAAAGTAGAATCTGGTTTGGTAAGAGGATTCTAAGGCTGAAAAAGCTGCCAAAAGGGACAGAGAAAAAAAAATCAGTCCCTCTATCCATCAGCCCACATAACATGTTAAGTAGAAATTTCTAACGAACACCAACAGCTGCATATGTATGGATCCAAACAAAAATGAACCAGGAGAAAATGATCCCTCTTTGCAAATTTCCCATTTCATTCAAACAGTTTCTAACCTGTCACAGTCTAGAAGAGTTCAAAAATGATCCATGGCTCACAACGGACTTAGGAGATGAAGTATAGAAGGTATGACATGATGAGCTGACTGGAGGATAAAGAGATGTCAGTATCTGGCTGTTGAGCTCTGAGGCAGTGATGTCTGTTTGCTGGCCATGAATAGGTAAATAGAAAGCACCAGAAAGTGAAGGTTCTGGAACACACTTGGAGGAGATTAAAGGCAGACAGTGACAGACGGCAGTGCCATTCTTTTGTGGTGTTTTAGTGAAGGCTTCTCAACCAATCAGAGGATCCTGAAATGATTGGCAGCTTGAGGAACCTCTGCATATCTCCAGCGGCGACATGACTTCATTGATAGACTGAGGAAAGGTATGCATCTTCTGAGGCTAGACCAGTGTTTACTAAACATTTTCCCACTGTGATCTCATTTCAGGATTTGAAAACTGTTGCAACTCCTTGCTGAGCAGTTGGAGATGGAGGACAAGCCTTATTAGAGGAGGGGGAAAACAAATGCTGCCCTGAAGCTCACAGCTCCCAAAGTTCCAGTTTGCAACCGCACTTAGCATCTTAACCCCCAATTTGTGAAGCCTGGGCTATACACTCTGGAAATCTTTTGTAGTTTGCCAATCATGCTGCTTTAAGAGTCTCAATGCCTCCTTTTCTTTCTTTCTGTGCTCCTTCAAATAAATCAGTTGATAGGAATCCTATTACTTGCATGACTGCACAGAAGCTGAAACATCTTCTCGCCTCCTCATTGGAAACTGAGGCTCAGGATCAGGGTCTTAAATGAACATAAAACTGGCAAAATCAACTTTAACACCCACCTCCCACCAATCCCCATCTAGGGATGACCAGGGAGTTTTTTTTCATTCACCCACAGGATGTGAGTGTCTCTGGCTGGGCCAGCATTTATTGCCAATCCCTAGCTGCCCCTGAGAACGTGGTGGTGAGCTGCTATCCTGAACCACTGCAGTCCATTTAGTGTAGATAATATGTCATTAGGGAGAGAATTCCAGGATTTTGACCCCAAAACAGAGGGTTATATATATTTCAATTTGAGAGCAATAATACAACATAAACTTATGTAGAACTTAGAACATGTAAAGAAAAAAATCAGCCTTTAGCAAGAAGCTGCAGTTTATTAGCCAATGCCCCTGTTCCTAAGCTGTGTGAAACTCACCAGGGTCAACAAGGCAAGAGCATTGGGCACAGAATAAATAAATGAAAGTGTCAGGATGGAAAGCTTTTAAAGAATGAAATGGTATTGCCGCTGCCCTGCCTATATGAAAGGCTATTGTTCACCACAGTTATTCTGAAAATATGATTTCAGTGCTTCATTGGTCATTTCCAACTTTTTGAGTGTCGTTTTATCCACCTTACACTTTACTTACTATGACCTGATCTTCCCTGCTGACAGCCATCACTGCAATATAGGAGCAGTTAATGCAACTATTGTATAGACCTTTCAAGGGCGCAAGAGAGCAGCCAGACAAACACACATTTTAGTTCCCCGTATCTATATACGAAAAAAACCGCACACCTGTGTATTTAAGAAGGAGGAACTGGACTTGATTCAGCACTAATAGAATTGACTACATTATTACCTTCTTAAAACTTCTTGGGGTGGTGTTGGCCTAGTGGGGTTATTTTTTGACTGTTAATGTTCTGGGGACCTGGATTTGAATCCTGCCATGGCAGATGGTGGAATTTGAATTAAAAAGAATCTATAATTTAGAGTCTAATGATGTCCACAAATCCATTGTTGAGTGTCAGGAAAAACCGACCATGTTCACTAATGTCCTTTAGGGAAGGAAACTGCCATCCTTACCTGGTCTGGCCTACATGTAACTCCAGACCCACAGCAATGTGGTTGACTTTGACTGCCCACTGGGCCATTAGGGATGAGCAATACATACTGCCCTAGCCAACAATGCCCTCATCCCATGAATGAATAAAAAGAACAGAAAACAAAGATTGTTAGATACCTTAAGAATTCCATGAGCGCTTTTAAGAATTTCCAGGAAGCATCGATTAATTAGATCCCAGCACTCATCGAGGGTTGGATCAAAAATAATTTTAGGTTCTTCTATTTTCAGTTTAAGGATCATGACTTGTGGCCAAACATATTGCATCTCATTGTATTCTCCTCCAAAATCATTTCCGTCCTGTCAATCAATCAATCTGAGAGTCATATCAGACTTGAAATGTTAACATCCTTTCTCTCTCCACTGATACTGTGTAACCTGTTGAGTTTCTCTAGCATGTTCAGTTTTTAAATTAATCAATTCTGTCAAGCAGTAAGTGTTAATATCAAAAGCCCTTTCCAGCGTGTATTTAAATCTGATAAATACTACAATAAGGGAAAAAGCATTTTGTTTAAAAGCTAAAGAGATGATTAAAAAGTATTTATTTGAGTGTAGAGTTGAACCAAACTACCAAAGTAGTATTTATCAAAATGGTATCCTTAACACATCATTTATCCAGAAAAGACAAAAATTACATCATTTTATCCATCAAGCTGAACAAAAACATTCCTAACATTTGTTTAATAAACTGTGTATCTTAATGCCTGTTAGAGTCATACAGTCACACAGCACAGAACAGACTCTTCGATCCAAACAGTCTACGCCGAACACAATCCCAAACCAAACCAGTCCCACTTGCCTGCTCCTGGCCTATATCCCTCCAAACCTTTCCTATTCATGTACTTATCTAAGTGTCTTTTAAATGTTATAACTGTGTTCGCATCCATCACTTCCTCAGGTAGTTCATTCCACATGCCAATCACCCTCTGTATAGAAAATTTGCCCCTCATATCTTTTTTAAATCTCTCTCCTCTCACCTTAAAAGTATGCCCCCTGGACTTGAAATACCCCATCCTAGGAAAACAACACCTACCATTAACCCTATCTAAATCCCTATTGATTTTACAACCTTCTATAAGGTCACCTGTCAACCTCCTATGCTCCAATGAAAAAAGTCCCAACCTTTCTTTAGAACTCAAATCTTCCATATCCGGCAATATCCCGGTAAATTTCTTCTGAACCCTCTCCAGCTTAATAATATCCTTCATACCTTGTGCATGGTAAAAAATGAGAGGAGATCTTCCAAAGAATTGAAAACAAGCTCTCTCAGTTGCAAAGACATGATAGAGGCAGCACACGCAAAGAATTCCTTAACCCGTTGAGTAGAATCACAATCATTCTGTGGCACCAGATGCATCCACTTGTCTTTATGGGTAAGGAAGAGGGTAGCGCAGGTAGGGACCCATCTGCAAGCACAAATTAATATGTCAGGCTAAGTTTCATAGGAATATACGAAATAGGATCAGAAGTAGATCATTCAGCCCTTCGAGCCTGCTTCATCAATCAATAAGATCAAAACTGATGTTTGTGTTTCAGATTCCACTTTCCCATTTACCATTCATAGAATCCCTACAGCATGGAAGCAATTCAGACAATCAAGTTCACACTGACCCTTTAAACAGCATTCCACCCAGACCCCTACCCTATAACTCCGCATTTCCCATGGCTAACCTATCTAGCCTGCACACACCTGCATACTATGGGCAATGTAGCACAGCAAATCCAGCTAACCTGCACATCTTTGGACTTTGGGAGAAAACTGGAGCACCCGGAGGAAACCCACACAGACATGGGGAGAATATACAAACTCCACACAGACGGTTGCCTGAGGCTGGAATCGAACCTGAGTCCCTGCACTGTGCAGCAACAGTGCTAACCATTCAGCCAACATGCTGCCCACTGCTGTTATGAAAAAACAAGGGTGAACTAAGCTGAGGAGGGGGGGCAGGTGGAATGTGTCTGAAAAGGTTTTCACTGAGGTCTGAGGCATGTCCATGGTTGAGCCAACTTGCTATAATACTGCAAAGCATTGGCAGGCAGTTCACAGGTTGGGAAGTTGGATTCTAAAGGACACTCTATGATGCAGAATTAGCCATTTAACCTAAAGGGAGAGTCATGCGGCCAATCAAGAATTCAATAAGATGGGAAGGTGAGGAAAGGTGGAGGCTATACCAGGTGCAGCAGTAGTTGGAAAATTATTGAAGATCCGCACCAAACCCAACAAAAACATTTAATACCATTCACCTTCAATCCTTTTGTAGTGGTTGTTTTTGAAGATTAGTTACCTTGTGTGCAGTATCTCTGCATGTTCCAGTATCATGATTTCACCAAAGCTCTATGCACAACTGTCAAAAACCAAAGGCACCCTGCCTATGCCCAGTATTTCCCTCGGGTGCCTACATCAGAACCCACTCTGAAACTGTGGTAACCTGTACTTTGGCAAGCGAGAGTGCCAACTCTTCCACTGCGACTTTGATCTTTCCACTACACAGCTCCCTCTGAAAATGAGAAGGTACTGAGACCAAAACGGCCCAATTGCTGGAAAATGGGATCAGGATAGACAAAAAGTGGTGTCACAGGTAGACAGGTTGGTGAAGAAGGAGGTTCAGATTAGACTTATTGCTGGGTATGGAAGGTTTGAGTTATAAAGAATGCCTTGATAGGCTGGGACTTTAATCACTGGAGTGTACGACACTGAGAGGCGACCTGATAAAGTTTATATAATAATGAGGTAGAGATAGAGTTAATGGTAGTTGTCTTTTCCCTAGGATGGGGGAATTTCAAGACTGGGGGCACATTTTTAAGATGAGAAGAGCAAGATTTAAAAAAGACATGGGGGCTAATTTTTTACACAGAGGATGGTTCGCAAGTGGAATGAACTTCCTGAGGAAGTGGTGGATGTGGGCACAATTACAATGTTTAAGAGGCATTTGATAAGTATATGAATAGAAAATGTTTGGAGGGATGTGGGCCAGGAGCAGGCAGATGGGATTAGTTTAGTTTGGAATTATGCTTGGCATAGACTGATTGGACTGAAGTGTCTGTTTCTGTGCTGTATTACTCTAGGAGTCTATAACAGGCTGAATAAGCTGGGACTTTTTCCCTGGAGCATAACAGGCTTAGGGGTGACCTTATAGAGGTTTATAAAATCACGAGCAGCATGGATTGGATGAACAGCCAAGGTCGTTTTCCCAGGGTAGCAGAGTCCAAAATTAGAGGAAATAGGTTTAAGGTGAGAGGGAACAGATTTAAAAGGGACTTGAGGGACAACTTTATCATACAGAGGGCGGTACATATATGGAATCATTTGCTGAAGAAAATGGTAGAGGCATTTTTACGACATTTAAAAATCATTTGGACAAGTTCACGGATAGGAATGGTTTAGAGGGATATGGGCCAAATACGGGAAAATGGGACAGGTTCGGTTTAGGAAACCTGGTCGGCATGGACGAGTTGAGCCGAAAGGCCAGTTTCCGTGCTGTATGACTCTATGATTCTTGAGCAACAGCATGGACATGACGGACCAGACCAGAGCCTTTTTCCATGCTGTTAAAAACTCTATGACTCCATGAATACTCTCTTTATTTTGCATTACGGGACGTAGGAATATTTGAATTACCCTGGGACCATTATCACAGCCTGCCGACTCTGGAATAAAAGTGTCAACTACCAGCTGCTGGAAAACTTTACATGAAATGGCCCAATCATTCACATCACATTTGCTGGCCAGAGTGAGATTACAGCAAAGAATCTATTGGATAGCTCACGGAAACTGTGGAAAACCAAAAAACTACAAGCATCCTGTAAGGGCATTTATTTTGAAAATAGGATAATAATATATTTTTGAGCAGAATGGGAGGAACATGTGACTCATTTCACCATGCCTGCATGAAAATAATGTGAGATGCATAATGGTTAAGAAAATTTTCAGTTCATTGGCATTCTTCACCTCAAAAATCCCCAAATCTTATCAATAATGTATGTATTGAATTGTAATGATTAAGCAGTTGTACATGTTTTCAGTTACATAAATTAGACCATACTGACATGTTTTCGAGAATGCTCCGAGTCTCTGCACACTGCTTCTTCACAAGATCTTCAAACTCCTGAGGGAGCATAGGAAGATTTTCTTTTTTTATTTCCTTCAGTTGAACAAATCGGATATTATCGAACCTGAATGGAGCAGACAGTTGAATTATTAAACCCCAGGACACCGGCAGATTGAATTACATCCTCTTGTTACCACTTAGCTTTAATTGTTTGACAGTCATGTTGAGCGGCAAAAGACCATAAAATAATATTCCTTGCACATTTAATGCCTTGATATCAATTCCAGGGTCATTCACTCATTCCCTGCAGTGGTTATTAGAGCAGCCTTGACTTCATTTCAGCACCATTCAAACAGACATTCTGACAAGTTCAACTTGACTCCTGAGGTTTCCCAGTGGGGAAGTGCCAGAAAAAGTTAGAATATCATGAAAGGGTTGTAGTATTTTATACTTTACCACTTGTCATTTCAGTTCTCCACATTGCTGTCACTCTGACATTTTTCTCTTTCTGTTTTAATGAGGTTCAAACCAAGCGTTCTTTTTTTCCCTTTGAAAAGATGATTTCACTGCAACATTTTAGTCATTTAGTAATGCAAAAGCAAAATATTGCAGATACTGGAAGTATCACTGTTCCTTCAAAGCCACTGGGTTAGAATCCTGAAACACCCTCCCTGACAGTATTGTGGGTGTCCCTGAACCAAATTGACTGCAGCAGTTCAAGAAGGCAGCTCACCACAACCTTTTCCAGGGCAACTGGAAGTAAGCAATAAATGATCACCTTGTCAGTGAGAGTCACAACCCATGAACAATTAAAATAAAACTGCTGAGTTTTGCACAATTTAGTGATCTGGGTAAAAAGTAAGCATAAAGAGTTGTACAGTCAAATTCGGAGTCAGCCTGGAGTTAATTGTCTTACTTTGTGTACCAGAGGTCCTGAAGTAAAGTCATCATTGGATTGACAATGAAGAGGTGAGACTCATTCCAAGCCTTAGCTTTACGGTACGCACTGTGCCAAGGAACTGGAGCACGAATTACTCGATGAGGAAAAGGCCGAGGGACAGAAGAGACAAAAAGTCGCATCCGTTCAGAAGGATCTTTTAAGATGTAGTTAACTGAAAAAATTGTGATAAGGCACAAAATTAATTTCACAAACATGTATCCACAGTGATAGAAATTACACTTATGCTGAAGTAAAACCTTTTGGCAGATTTCATGTGGTGTCAAAGTACTTTAGTTGATTGAAAATTAATTCCACTAGACGGAAAAGAAAACTGAAGTCATAATCAACACTCTGATTCTCCAACACAATGTTGTACCTGTGGTTAGATTAAATCTATGTTTTATCTAAAATAATTATGATATTATTGTGATACAATTTATTTTTAACCAAATTTTGCTTGTATCAGTTTTCAGATGTTCAGAATCTCACCATCCTGACTTGGAAATATATCCACTGTTGCTTCAATGTCACTGTGTCAAGAATCTGGGATTCCCTCTGTAACAGTATTGTGGGTCTACCTACAGCACATGGATTACAGCAGTTCAAGAAGGCAGCTCAGCTTCAATTCTCAGGGGCAACTAGGGATGGGCAATAAATGCTGCCCTGGCCACATGGGGCAGCATGTTGGCTCAGTGGTTAGCACTGCTGGCTCACAGCACCTGGAACCTGAGTTTGATTCCATCTTCAGGCAACTGTTTGTGTGGAGTTTGCACATTTTCCTGTGTTTGCATGGGTTTCCTCTGGGTGTTCTGTTTATCTTGATCAGCTGGGGAAGTGGGCTGAGAAATGACACATGGAGTTTAATATAGATAAGTGTGAGGTGTTGCATTTTGGAAAGTCAAATCAATGCAGGAGTTTCATGGTGAATGGTAGGGCCTTAAGGATTGCAGCGAAACATAAGGACCTCAGAGTTCAGGTGCACGGTTCTCTGAAAGTGGAGTCACCGGCAGACAGGGCAGTGAAGAAGGCTTTTGGCACACTGGCCTTCATCAGTCAGGGCATTGGGTATAGAAGATGGGAAGTTATATTGCAGTTGTACAGGACGTTAGTGAGGACACAGTTGGAGTATTGTGTTCAGTTTTGGTCATCTTGCTATAGGAGGGATGTTATCAAACTGGAAAGAATGCAGAAGAAATTTACAAGGATGATACCAGGATTCAAGGGACTGAGTCATTGGGAGAGGTTGGACAAGTTAGGACTTTTTTCTTTAGAGCATAGGGAGACTGAGGGGTGATCTTATAGAAGTGTATAAGATCATGAGAGGCATGGATAGGGTGAATGCACTCAGTTTTTTTCCCAGGGTTGGGGTATCAAGGACTGGGAGCATCAGTTTAAGGTAAAAGAGGAAAGAATACATGAGAACCTGAGGGGCAACTGTTTTACACAGAGGATGGTATACATATAGAATGAGCTGCCAGCAGAAGTGGTTGAGGTGGGTACATTAATAACATTTAAAAGGCATTTGGACAAATACATGGATAGGAAAAGTTTAGGTGGATATGGGCCAAGTGCAGGGAAATGGGGTTAGCGTGGATGGACATTTTGGTCAGCATGTACCAGTTTGGGTCAAAGGGCCTGTCTCTGTGTTGTAGGACTCTATGACTCTATGAGATGCCCACATCCCATGAGTAAATAAAAAGTAAACTGCAGGCTAATTCCCATTGGACTCCTTTTGGTCTCGTGCAAATAACACTCTAGATTCAATTCAGGAATGTTTGAGGTGCATGAAAATTATATAAGACCATTATAAAGCCCTGTTGGTGACAGAAACACAGAGGGTTATACAGATTCACAATAGCAGGATTGTATTTGAGAACTGTGCAAACAAACATGCACAGGATGCCACCTACATCCTTTTCAACAAATTTAAAAATAGTAGACCTGATTTTAACTGGCAGAAAGTAGGTCCAGTGGTTGGGGCAGGGTGGGGTGGTTTCTGCAGTTAAATCAACACAAGTCAGTTAACCTCATTGAGTCTATTTCCTTTCCGAACATGGGCAGGGAGGAGGCAGGGTCATATTTTAAATAGTGGTAGACTCTTCATTGCTCAAATAATCCCAAACTGTAAATGACTTCATTAGGAACTTTAAAGGCTGAGATAGGCAGACTTTTGATCATTACGTGGATCAAGGGTTATGGGAAAAAGATGGGAAAGTGGAGTTGAGGACTATTAGATTAGCCATGATCTCATTGAGTGGTGCAACAGACTGAATGGGCTGAATGGCCTACTTCTACTCCTACTTCTTATGGTCTAACCTGTCAAGAGCCAGATCATGAACAAGAAGTGCCCAGAAGGTAAGTTGAACATGTATTTGTCGGGTTTCCTTCTGGTCAGGATGTGTAGGTGTGCATCTCCAGGCCTCACAAGCAACCTCAGGCCTCCCCACTGCAAACTCCTGCCCATCCCCCATTCCAAACATAGCAACCGTTTCTCCTCCTTCCCCCAGTCACAGCTAATATTCCCTTCTCACCCCCACCCCCCTGCCACAGTGCATTGCAGCCACAACCCCTCCCCAGATCACCGAATAGGAGCCTCCACTAATTGCTCGCACACAGTTCTGGCTTTGTGATTTGTGTTTGACCTCCCTCTCACAACCAAGCCCTCGATCCAGTCTGTAGCTGCTTACTGGGGTCAGGCCCCGCTTTTAAAATTGGCACAAGGTCCCCCTCCTTGTGACCTCAACCTTGTCAGGATTTCCTTCCACTGGGCAATCTTCATTAACAAAATTAATTTTAACATTTAAAAGGTAGGAGATTGGCACTAAGTTAAAATGCTCAACAAGCTGATATAGACACAGTGAGCTAAATGGCCTCTTTCAACACTGTAACAATTGTGTGATTCTGTGTTTCTGGACCTTTGAGGAAACCAGTAAATTGAATTTCTATAATGACAGATAATGGAATAGGAGGAGACCTTCAACAGAATGACACTGTACAGACAGACCCTTCAAACATCAAGTCTGCAATGACTAAAACTATTCTAAATCCACTTGTCTCACTTTCCAGCACTTGGCCCATAACCCCTGGATGTTATGACATTTCAAGTGCTCATCCGAAAACTTTTTAAAGGTTTCCCACCTGAACTATCCTCACTGCCAGTCCATTCCAGGTGCCCACCAGTTTCCAGATGAAAAACAGTTTCATCAAATCCCCTCGTTCATTGTCAGTTACTTAAGGTCACCTTACCAATGGCTTTCCTAAGGCTGGTGTCGTAGTCATTATGAACCTCCTCAAGCAATTCAAGGTGTAGCTCTTGCAAATTAGGAACACCTTTAAGCTCCTTTGGCAGAAGTTGTTCTATTCGGTCTATCTGTTCCGACTTTTGTGGTTCAATCATATCAGGCAGGATGCCATGGTCAATGTAGTAGATATATCTCTGAAATATGAAAGAAAACAAATTCATCTGGAATTAAACACTCAACAGACATCTATCCACCACATTTTAATGAGAAATAAAACAAATGAAGTGCTAGTTAAAAATATTTTGTGAATCTTATCTTACTACTAGAGAGGCAACCGAAGTTTCTTACATGGACCATATTTCCTCCTAGTAATTTTTGAGACCTAGGGAAATGTCAACTCATGTGTATTCCTTGGAGTTGGAGTCTGGTGACCCTGTGTAACTGGGGTTCTCGTGGTCCCAATGATACGTAAGGGCTTTCCAATGCATTGGTGCCTTGGTGTCTTGCAGGGTTAAAGGCAAGATTCCCTATCAGAGTTTCCTAAACATTTTCTCTCCAACAATAGATCCAGTGGTACCTGTTTCTATTTCCATGTCTAGGGAGTGGACATTTATATGGAGTTTGATCGTAATTGGGACCACTATGGGAGCTGTGATGCAATTTAGCTGTATCAATTCCTCATCCTCGGGCTGATTTATTTGAAAAGTCCTGTCTTGAGGTAACTTCGCCCTTCAGCCTGAGTGGTACATATTTTGTCTGTTTCAGTAGCCTTGTCTGGGGTGAACTCTATGACTATAAGTGTAGCATGGACATTCTTGCTCCTCACTGTATTGTGAGGAAATTTCCCTTTCAGTTCTGGAACCTTGCAGCCTCCGACTCCAATCATCCTTCCTTGTAAACAAATGGAGTCACGACATTATCCACTGGGTCTGTGCCTGAGGGCAATACCATTAATGGACCGCTGAAGCTTCTGAGCCCCTTGTTCTGTGTTTTTGCAGGAAAGGGTCAGTTCTATGGTTCTTCAGGCCCAGATCTGTTTCATTCAGTAGCTTCCTTAGGGTCACAATATTATTAACTCCACAAACTAACTATTCCCTTAACATCTCCTGAAATGCTGACCCATTGTTGCAGTCAGTTTTTGCAGCCTCGTCATGAATTCAGTGACTGGCTGCCCAGGAAGTCTGTTTGCTGTGTTAAACCTGTAAAGCTGCGATGTAACAGATGGCTTAGGGCAGAAGTAGTCTGATACTGCATCTAAAAGTTCATCAAAAGATTTTGACTCAGGGCTGCCAAGTAGGTTAAACTCTTTAGGATGCTGAATGTTGAAACCCCAAAGTGGACTTCTCTTTCATCCCACTCTCATAGCCAATGTAATAACTCAGGAGACCCAACTGGAAAAAAACATCATTTGTTGTTGAAAAAGTCATGATATACATTAGCTAGTCCCAGCCCAGGACAGAAAGCTCTCCAGTCTCATCCCTGGGTCTGCTTCCCTTCCCGCTCCCTGATAGCCAAAAGTGTTATCCTTCACAACCAAACGTTGGGACTGAGTTAAGGAGAAATGCCTTCACCCGGAGAATGGTGAGTCTATGCAATTCACAACCACAGAAATCTGTTGGTACCAAAACATTATGTGTTTTCAAGAAGGAGGTATAGCTCTTGTGGCTAAAGGAATCAAGGGATATGGGGGAAGGTGGGATTAGGGTATTGAGCTTGATGATCAGCCATAATCATATTGAATGGCAGAATAGGCTCGAGGGGCTGAATCGTTATTCTTATTCTAGGTCATTAAGTATATTCACGGCTGAGATGGACAGATTTTTAATTAATAAGGGGATCAAGTATTACAGAGCAAAGACAAGAAAGTGAAGTTGAGGATTTTCAGATCAGCCATAATTTAATTGAATGGCAAAGCAGACTTGATGGGCTGAATAGCCTATTTCTGCTCCTATGTCTTATGGTTTTATAGTCAATTACTTAATTAGCTTCCCCATAAATGGACATTATGAATACAGTGGGAATAGTTAACCATTGCAGTGGTTAATGCATTGCAATGTCAGCCATGTAACTCTGGGAACTTAAATGCATTGTTGTAGCTAATTCAATGATTTTACATCAGCAGTAAAGGTTAATGAAGCCAGCATCTTCACGAGCCATAGCCTTACAAATTAGCCACTAATCTCACACGTTGCACCACTCTACCTTCACTAACCTACCAATTTATTGCCTCATCTCACCCTCAGCAACAAGCACTGCAAAAGGCTCACATTCACATCTCACAGCTTATATACGTTCAGCTATTCAACTGTGGCAGACTCAGCTAAACATATTGCAGCACACTGAATAACATCATCTCCTCTTCCTTGAGCACATAAATTAGGAGCAAGAGTTGGCCACTCCCAATGGGCCTGCTTCACCATTCAGTGAGATCATGACTGATCTGATAACTCCATATTCCCGCCTACTCTGATAACCTAGTACCTCCTTGCTTATCAAGAATCTATTTACTATAAATGTCTGCCTTAAATGCATTCAAGGACTCTGCTTCTCCTGCCTGCAGAGAGAAAACTTTTTGCCTTATCTGTTTTGATTGAGCAATCCTGATTTTTAAACCATGATCCTTAGTTCTAGAATCTCCCACAAGAGGAAACATCCTGTCCACATCCACACTGTCAGGACCCCTCAGAATCTATGTATATCTAACAAGTTGCCTCTTACTCTTCTAAACTTTGTGGATACAAACTTATTCGATCCAGATTTCTCTCATAAGTCAACCTGCCCATTCCGGATAATATCTAGCACACCTTCTCTGAACTGCTTCCAGCACATCTTCATCCTTCTTCAAAAAAGGACACTGAACCTGCACACAGTACTCCAGGACATGAGCAACAATCAGAGGGAGCAGCAGCCAAACAGAAAGAGAGATACTGCTACATTACCTCCTACCCCATAAAGGAGATGGTTCTGGTAGTCATTGATAGAGCCATGACTTGGGCTGTAGCAAGCAGTGGAGCTGAAACCAATGCCCCACATCCCACAATCTCTTGCAACGTACAAATTCCATACATTTTGTTTTCCCCACCTACCCCACCCTATACCTACTCTCAGATACAAAACAGCTGCCAGCTGGTGAAAACACCAAACCAGAGGCTGCAGACCAACGGGTATAAGAAATGGACGAAGAGAAAACACTAAGACTTGGTTGCTGTCTTGTAACCATTAACTCAGATACTAGCACCATGTGAACATTATTAGCCTTATCATTTATGGTGCAAAAAACAGCCCAGTTGGTTTTATTGAAGAAAATACCTCCAGATTTGAAATGACCAGAACAAACTGATCAGACCCTGAGCTAAATAATGAGCAATTTTTTCAATTTTCCCACCTACATAATTCAATGAATGATATGGTAGCGCTATCCAATTTCAAGTTATTTCTGGCTCAGTAAGAGAATACAAATCCCTCTTAAAAAGCGAATATATTAACAGAAACCTCATAATCTCTATCAGAAGGCAGTCCTTCCAGTTGAGTAATCTCTTCCTCTTGCTCAAGAATTAAGTTAATTTGTTCCACCGGTGTCATTGGTCGGCTTCCAGGAATTTCCTCCATTGTTGAAGGTGTTGGTCCTGAGGTTCCTGGAGGACCTGAGCCTCTAGGCCAACTTTTTGAATCTCTGAAACAAAACAACAGTTTTACACTCCTTCTGCATTGTCCCTGATGATAAGGACGAAAGATTTTCCTTCACTTGAAAACTAAATGAGCACTTCTGACTAAAGAAAGCATGGTATGAAGTGAACTTTGATTATAAACACACGCTGAAATAACTGATTGGCTTATGATATGAGACAAAGGGTGTTTTACATTTTCAGATACAGTGAAATAACTACAATTTATAGTGTCTTCAATGTAACAAACATCCCAGATTCTACTGAATGGCAGAGCAAGCTTGAGGGGCTGAACTCCTGTTTCTATTTCTTATGGTCTTATCCCAAGGAGCATTGTACTAGGACTGAGGGTCACTTGTCTTTCATTCTTTCTTGGGATGTGGGTGTCACTGGCTAGACCATCATTGGTTACCCTTCCCTAATTGCCCAAGACACTTTGGTAGTGAGATGCCATTTCAAATTAGCTTATTAGGACTTTCACAAGCCACAGAGTCAATGATATTATAATGGGTCAGACCAGGTAAGAATGGCAAATTTCCTTCCTTGAAGGACATTAGTGAACCTGTTGGGTTTTTATCACAATCAGTGATAGTTTGATGGTCACCATCACTGAGGCTAATTCTTAATTCCAAATTAATTAATTAAATTAATTCCATTCCAAATTAATGAATTGAATTTAAATTCTATCAGTTTTCACAGTGGGATTTGATGTCTTGTGGGTACCTTTTCCTGTGATATTACCACTATGCCACAGTATTCTCTATAAATAAGTACTAGATGGAGGTAGAGAGTCAGTGAGAACTCTGTTGTCTCTTTTGGGGAAGGTCCACCACATTATATGCCATTCAGGTGAGGAGCAGGCAAGATGAGGATCCTATGGCTTGCTGGCCCAGATGCTGAAAAAAATTTTAAACATTTGGCCGAGGCTTGGCATTATTTTGGGGGTTTGCTGTGGGCTGACCTACAGTCCCTCTGTTCAGGATACGGCCTGAGCGAGGCTATGCAATTGCCTTTACTCAAGTAGCATTCCCCAAACTGAGTAGGCCTGGCAAGGGTGTCCATTTTCATCAGAATACCCTGCTACACATATGCTCTCCTCGTTGCATTTTCCAATGATAAAGCCAGTTATAATGCTTGTTTGAAGTCTAGTTGAGCTTCAGCTAATGGGCCCATTTGCAATCATTACATCATTAATCCCACATACCAAACAAACAGTCTCTAAGCATCTCATTAAGGATTAAACCAAAATCATATGTCTCTGCCAGTCATTTTAACCTAGTCTAAAATCCCAAAACGGATTCCCTGATTGTCAAATTGCTGAGTAAACCAATAGCATCTCAGAATTAGAGAAGGTTTGGGGTTGTAATATTCCTTGACTAAATCTGAGAGTTTTGAAAAGTTTTAGTATCAGGTGCTTCAGGGAAAGTTAGGGTCCTAATAACTGAAAAAGTTTTGGGTTATCAAGCTGGCAGGAAAATTACTCATTCCTTTTCAAGTGTCCCAATGTTATCTGCCTGGAAAAAGTAACACATTCTTTTCACATACTGGGCCCAGTCTTTGATGGCAGGATTCAATGAGTCAAGCTTCCCAAATAATGGCATGATGTCAGAAATGCTTAACTCCAACTCAAAGACAACTGTTGTGAGCATATTTCTTCATGAGTGCTTTTCTGTCATCACCATTGACATAACTCCACAGAGGCTGGTATCCCATCACCAAGTTACCCTTGATTGACATGTGGAGAGTCCTTGACACTGGTCCTCGTCCCTCAGAACCAGCTATCAGAGTGAACAGGATGTCTGACACCCCCATTTATATTTGTCAGCCAGGGCTCCCCAATCAGGAAACTCATATTCTATGAGGTGCACTTGGCTGACATTGTTACAATGACTACAGTAGGTTTTAAGAAGTGTCTTAAAGTTGAAGAGCAAGGTAGAGAAGCATAAGGAAGGAATCCCAGGGCTTTTCACCTGCCACCAATCATGGAGTGATTATAATTGGAAAAACCTGAGGGACCAGCATTAGAGAAGCACAGATCATTCAGAAGGTTGTGATGCTGGAGGAAGTTACAAATGATCGGGACAGCCAACACCATAGATGGAAAGGATTTGAAAACGAAGATGAGAATGTTAAAATTGAGGCATTTATTTTGTCTGGGAATCAGTGTATGTCAGTGAGCACCAATAGCATCTCAGAATTAGAGAAGGTTTGGGGTTGTAATATTCC